AATGTGTTTGGTTTCGTATACATATTACTTCTTGCGGTTTTACTTTATCCAATGCTCATATGTATATATAAGTAATATATATATTTTTAAAAACAACGTGCATACGTACATGACTTTATTCATATTTATGTCAGTGTATGAAATATATTTAATTTTAAGGCCAATTCGAGTTGCTGTTTTGGAAAGAAATTATTTCAAAAATAATTGAAGACTCGGGATGACGTAACTGTTAATTTCAAGAACGGATTCGAGAATTAGACATTTTATTATGTTATTGTATTTTACAGTCGAAGAAATAAGTTTTCATTCTTCTGCTTTCATAGAATTCACAAAAATTTGTCTTTGGTTTTGCAGTAACTTGATATAAACTTGTAGTTAGATTTTCTATTATTGCACTTAAAATGTAGCCTGGGTATATTCAACTAACTCACTTATACTAATAAGCGAACCCAGTTTGTTGAAAGAAAGAAATCACTTATGTTACAATTAAATAACAGACCTAGACAATTAAAAATTATTATTAAACTATTTAATAATATTGTACAGAGTTGATGCTGAAAACATGAAATTTGAAATTGAAATACATAATTACTATGTAGCTACATATGTACATATGTATGTATATACTTAAATACAAATATATTTTTTGAATTAATTGAAAGTTTTTATTTATTATATAATATTATAGAATAAAATTAATTAATTTTTACAACATTTTTAATTTACCTCAGAATTATAAATCGAAAAGGTAATCTTGAAAAGTAACCAAAAAATAAAAATACCTACACACACACACAGACACAGTGATAAATTTTAATTTCATTTAACTGTAAATGACAATGACAACCATTGTATTTTTTTTCTCTTTCATTCGTATTGAACCAATATTTTTTATCTTAATTCAAATCGTAATGAAATTTGGTTTCTCTCTTATTTTTTTTCTTTATCCAAATCTATCCAAACGAGAACGAAAAAAAAACCAATGATTAATCAATGAACCAACTAACAATATAGTGACATTATATTAGATTTGTAAAAATGTATATCTCTATATATATTTTTATAGTCCTGTATGTATGGATGTAATATGTAATAATAGATAGCATAGAGCCAATCAACATTGTCTAGGTTCTTATTTTTATCTGATTTTTTGTATTATTTCATCCAATATTACACAGGGTGGGTCGGAATTTGATGAGAGAGGATGATGTATTTCACCGATAAAATAAAAAGCACATGCAGCGAGCTTTTTTAAAATATTTAAGTTGTTTTTGTAAAATTTTTAGTTTTCTAATCTAAAATTTCAAGTTTATAAACAGCTATTACTTGAAAACGAAATGTTTGATATCATAGTCATTGACATTTTATTAATAGGTCTATTAATGTAGAAAAAAAATTACGAAAAAAACATTGTTTTAGCTTCAACAGTTTCGAAGCGATGGTGGATATTCATTACACAGGATTTTTTTCAATCTTATTAGCTTTAATCCTTCAAAACTATCTTTAGACGTTTGATTGCCGCATCTCGCTCTCACGCGAACATTTTTTTTTAATAAAAAATTATATAGAGTAACCTTCGCCAACTTTGAAGCTAGTTTCGGACCACCCTGTGTACATATGAAATATACAATATATGAGAATTATAAAGTAAGTAAAGTGTCATTGACAGAAGAGCTACTTTTTAACTGCTATGCACTATATGTGGATGCAATGAAATTATATTGTTATGTATCTGAATTCGGCTAGACAAATGTAAAGGGAAATTGGAAGAAAATAAAATCGTTTTCAGTTATATTATAACCATTATTCTGTGAAACATATCTGTTTTTTTTTTTTTCATTTTAAACATTGATATGAGAAACATTTTTTTTCTTAATGCATTTCTCTTTAACAGAGTGTCAGTCTTGCATGAAACTCTTGTTTTATAAAAATATTTATATGAAATCGGATATTAGAACGGTCCAATATTAAAACAGTTAAAAATTTATTTTATGTTATTGGAATAGGAATGAATTCTTCGGTTATTACGAATTATTTAATAATTTAAATGTATTAATAAATTATATTTTAAATCATTTTTATATTTTCTTCGCCAAACCTACATGTAGCAATGTAGAACTCCAACTGTTAAAAATTAAAAGTGTTGTTAATGTTGATGAAAGATCAAATAAGTAAACGGTCAGTTAATACAAAATTTTTGGTTCAACAATAAAATTCAAAAAACACTTTGTATATATTTTAATAAACGTACATACATAATATGCAATATTTAAAAAAAAATAATATAAAACATTCTTCTCTATATACAAGTACCTATATATATATATATAAATTAGTTGGCGTAAAACCAAAAATTACTCTCAATGTAATCAGCCGCAAAACCAAGAAATCAATGCATCTATTATACAATTACATAGTAATTTTGAAATATAATTATATTAGGAGGCATATTTTTGTTCGCTTATTCTTACACGTCATGTATTTTGTGTATATAAAGATATTATTAAATATATGTATGATTAATGTATACATAGGTACATCTTACGTGAGTGTGCTGGAGAAATAAATTTGAAAGGAATAATAATTTTTAGTAAAAAATTTTTAGAATTTATTAAATTGAATTCTTTAAACATATAAATAAGAAACTTCAAGGACGAAATATGATGAAAGTAATCAAAAGAAATTTTTCTTTTTTTTAAACTGGCATAGTTATTTTAATGAAAAAATTTAAATTTTTCTAAAATATTAGTTTTTAAAATATGTATCAGTTATACATAGAGCACAATAAAAACTCCAAAGAATTAATGATATGACAGGGTTAATATTTCAGAAGAACATTAAAATGTTATTTATAATATATATAACGATTTCTTTTTGTAATGGCCATGCCATTACCATGGTCCTTGCTTTTTCTGAGACCCTGCCCGCAAAACCCCATCTGATGCCTTTTGTCCCAAGTCTTTAGCACTTAAAAGCACTCGTTCTTTTTCAGAAGTAGTTATATATAGACATTGTAAAATAAGGCAGTTTTTGAAGAGTTATGCGAAAACAAATAAAAACAAGAATTAGAAAGGTAAATTCAAGGCATTCCTTAGCGGATAGTCTAATAACCAGAAGGTTATTAGATCGATGGTTGCCGAAATATTGTAGTAATTAGCATATTCTACCAAATTAAATGCATATATATTACCAAATAACACTTAGTTTTTGTCATGTACACCACGCTATAAAAAACATACAAAATATAAAGAATTTTGAGAAATTGAAGTTCAAATGCTAACTATGCCTTTCGGCAGCTTTAATATATTTCAGGTTTTTTTGTTATAGGTACAACAAATCAGATTTATTCAATATTGAATTTTTTTTTTAGTTTTCCATAGAATATTATGTAACAAAAAGTAATAAAAATACTTGAATTCCAAAAACACAACAAAAAGTTTCCTCTATTCCTATAAAAAAATTTTTTTTATTTTATTAATGTCTGAACGAGCGCATATTAAAAAATAAAAAAAAAGGCACTTTTAGTGACCCTGGTTTTATGCTGCAATTTTCTATTTTCAAATTATAAAGGATTTTCAGGATAAGAGAAAAAAAAAGACCAAGAACTATTCAAAAGCATTATACGGTATATTTAAAAGGTTATCAGTTAATATTTGTATAAAATTAAAAAAAAATTTAATATGATAATTTGAAGAACATCCAAAAATTTCGGATAATTTTGTGGTACTTTCCTATAAACTTCTCTCTCTCTCTCTCTTCTTTTATAAGCTTATAAGAAAGAGACTCTCGAAGGCAGCTTGAGACGTTCAACATGTTTAACGGTGTGAATAAAATTTAGAATCTATGAGTCTATTTTATTTAGTAATGCGATTTTTTAATTTAATTCAGTTGTCTATGGTTAAAAATTTTAAATTTAAAATGAACAGGGTTCAAAAACTATGTGTTACCGCATTGTAAAGCACAAGAAAACAATATAATATTTTGTATCACAATTATATGTTGATGTTATAAACTTGAAAGCATTTTAAATATGATTTTAAGTATGTATAAAGTTCAACACTATACATATGAAATAATTACTTGAATGCAAAATTGGATATGAAAATTTTTCATAACAGAAAAAAAAAATAAATAACAGGAATTAAGATGCCAATATATAGAATAATAGATTACTGTTATATTTATGTATTGCAATGAGCAAACACAAATAAAAGTAATGAAAAACAGAGAAAAAAACGGTTTTTATGGTTGCTTATGCCTGCAATATGAAATTTTGATTTTTCCAATTATAGACCTGTACTTTTTCTCATATAAATATATATACATATATGTATGTATATACTATATAATATATGTACATACCTACACTTTTTCCGTTGTATCACCATATTGCTCATCTGTGGAAGTATACAGAATTATATATAAGCGATTATACTATTCAGTTGCATTAAGGGTTTATGGATGTGCACGGACTTAATTTAGTTACGTCTCTGTTTTTAATTTCCAAGTAGTTTCTTCATATAGTGAAAATTTGCAAAAATATTTTGAAATCGAACATATTATTATATTTTTTATTTGGCACCCATTTTTAACTTTTGACTTATAATACGATTCTCAAATTGATAAAATTTTCTGTTATATTAAGTCATTCATGTTTACAATTACACGATCTTTGCAGAACGACTGTAGTTCGTTTTTAAAGAATAATCCGATTGAAATTTTGATATAAATGTGCGACGTAAATAAATAGTACATTTTACAAATTTATTTTAAACTAGAAATTCAAAGGTATTTTTAAAATGGGTCGCCTAATGTGGAAATTTCATAGGCGGTTTTTAATGCACACATGTATTATACAAGAAAGCAACGAGAACAATTTTAATTAAAAAAGAAAATACATATGTATTTAAAATTTTATAAAATTTTTTAGAAAACTAAAATTTTATTTTGGCAAATCTTTTAAATTTTTCTAAAGTTAAATTTCTTGTTTTTCATTTCAGATTTTCTTAGTGGAAACGTCATCAAATCAGCAATCCAGGAAAATTAGCAATTAAAGATATTAGTGTTTTCAGATATTGTGACTCAATTTAATAAATAAATTGTAATTAAAACACGCGTTGACATACTTATTAACACAGAAATGCGCATAAGAAATTATAATTTTTAAGTCATAAATATTTGTATATAGTATGTAAATTTACAAATATTTACATTTAATAATTATATAAAATCTTATTAATTTCGATCTCCGAATTGTTTGATTTCTATTTTTTTTGATACAAAAGTTTTCGTTTTTGAAGTAAATACAATTATTTTTAAAATTATTAATCCAGAAAAGAAAAAACTAATATTAAAAGTAATAATATTTTTATAAAGTAAAAATTTTTAAATAATTTAATAAGTGTAAAAAGGAAAAAAAAGGATAATAGGACAAAAAAAAATAATAGAATTTTATTAATTTATCAGAAGTGATGAAGTCATGAGACCAACATTCGATCGAAGGCTCTGGATACTTCTGTTTTGGTACATCATATTTTTACAATGTAAGTACAAGTTTCTTTTCTGTTTGTATAGATTCAATTATTTAATTAGATTATAATGTATTCACATCGATCTTTAATGTGAGCTTTGACCATTTATAATTTTAACGTACAAAGTGACTTTTTTATCAATCTCTCTCCCAACTTTACTGTAAGCGCTTTACATACGATAACAAAATTCATACTGAATAAGAGAGCCTAAAACAATATGAAGGTAGAGAGAATATGAAAGTGTGGAAGAGAAAGTGTGAGTAAAATTTACTTCTAACTCGTCGGTTAAAGGTTTTTTATATTCAAATTTAATTTGTTTTTCTTATGATATTCTTACAATTATTATTAATTCAGAATTGAAAAAGAAACGAGACCTGACATGTACCAAAAGTTGATCAATCTGTGACATAACCAAAATTAAGTTACAAATAAAATTTCATTAAAATTGTTTCAGCCATAGCTTAGATACACGCGTGCAGTGTGATAGACAGGCAGACACTCCGGCTTACTTCGAAAAAATAGTTTATTTTGCGATAGTAGAAAAATTTTTATTAGTATTGTGTATAAGTTTATGTATAGGTATACATGTGTGCATATACATTTGTATATTTCGCTAGTGTTATTACTCTTAATATTTTGTGCAGTTTCATTTTCTATTCTGTTTCTTTTTTAAGTCTGTGTTCTTACACTGACTAAACAGCGATTTCCTTTTAATTTTAACCCAATAATAATATTCTTTTATATACTCGTATAACTAGTCTTGAACTTTCTATAATCTAGGTAAATCTTTAGTATATATTAGACTATCATTATGACATCACATACATACAGTATATGAAAGAAAAAAATTTTTTTTGAAATATTCAACTAAATTTTTATCTTTATTTTTAATTTTCTTACAAAATATACTCATGTCTTCTTATTTATGTTGCATACTGTATAAGTAGTAGACATATAATTCTTATTTATATTCCATAAAATCGATTTTTATTCAATTTAGAAATAAAGTTATCTGAGCCCTCCAAAAAAGAAGTTTGTATTGCTATATGTGATATACTCGTAAACAAGTATAAATATACTTGTATATATATATATACAAGTATACACATATACATATGCATGTATATATTTTGTAATCTTATAATTTTTAAATACATGTTGTATCCTTGTCATGGTAAAATATTCAAAATACCATCATTACATTATCACCTTTATTATCGTGATTACCTTAACTTTCATGTTTTTTTCTTTTACCTAACTGTTAAAGTCTACTTCTGTTGCTGGTGTAGGTTATCGTTTGTTGCCACAATATACTTGCTTATACTTCATTACGTTTACATAATAATATTTATTTTTTTTTTAATTTTATTTTCAAGCATATACAAAAATTATAAGAATATTTCCTTCACATCTTATATTTTAAAAAGTTGTATATAATGTATTAACATGTTGTGTGTAATATAAGGGAGAAAATTTTAAGAAAATATTTTTTTTTTAAAATATTAAAAAAATGCATAAAAGGATTTATATAAAAATATATTAGGTATAAAAAATTTACGTATGAGCATACATGAAACTTAGTATGATGACAATTTTATATATAAGGAGGAGAATGTTTGTTATATATGAAGTTGTAAATGAATGTTGTAAATAAAAAAGGAAATGAAAAAACAAATGAGAAAATTAAAGCAAGAGGTTGACAGTGTAGATTATTACACTTAACAGAGCAAAAATAAAATAGAAATCTGGAAATATCTGCGATTATTTTGAAATTTAAAAATTAAAATGTGAATGCTTCAAAGAAAAACACGGCACCTTTTTTGATGAAATAAACAAAACTGCAAAGAAGGGAAAATCGTTATTTACAGTAATCTTTTAAAGTTCAACGTACCCAGTTCTCCATGACATTATTGGTTATCAAAAATGAGATGTGAACATTAAAATTATAATACAAAAGCAGTAATTAAAAAAACTAATGTAGGAAAGTTTTGTAATATAAAAAATTTTTGTAGAAATCTTAAATGTTGAAGTCAAAATAACCTGAAATTTTTCTAAATTTCCTAAATGAAAATTAGAATTTTTTTAGAAGATCAATTTTAAATATTTAATCAACGACTTTTGTAATACTTCTCTCATTCTCTCTATAAATTCTTTCCTTTGTATGCACTCACTTTAATGGAATTTTATGTTATTAATATTATTTAAATTTCAGCTTTCTGGTAACCTTATAAGTCTTCGTCAGAAGTAAATAGTTAATGATTAAGGAGGCTTACAAATTAATGATAACTAATTTTACATGATATGAAATTCTTTTTTTAAGAGATCATTTTGGTGAATTATTTAATGATTTTTCATAAGATATTAAAAATCACATTAATTTTTCAAAGAAGCGATTTGAACCTTTTTGATATGGTTTGGTTACCCCACAATAAGTGACAAATTAAATGAATTTGATTTTTACATTTCTCTTTAATATTAAAATAAATTTACAGAATATCTACTGAATACGCATCTACGCAATATGTACTCATATTATGGTTTTTGAATATTACAAAAACAAATGAATTCGGATGTCAGTGGGTCATTTAAAGTGGAACCTTTCACTTGAACATGTAAAAATACTGTTTTAAAAAATAATTTTGTAATTATTTCAATAATATACCAAAATAATTTTATGTGATAAAAATTTATTGCATACTTTTGGGGGAAAATAATTTGTTAGAATGTAAATTTAAGATTTCTGCAAAAAATTTATATATTATTTTATAAATATATGTATTTTTTTTAATTGTGCTTAAAAAACTAGCACTGCTGTAAAGTTCAGTAAGAAAATCATAGCGGTTAATTTCAATAAGAATTTTGTCATTTTGATGTTTGTCCACTTCGCTCAACATTTTTTTAGTTTCAGTATAATAAATAGTCAAAAAAAAAGATATTTTTACGACTTTTAGAAGGAGCGGAGAAGGACAAAAAACTTTCTTTTCTGGAAAGGTAGAAAAATATCGTAAGCAGATGCACAGATGAACAGATGAATGACGGACAGAAGGAAAATCATTAGCACTAATTTTTTAATTTTTATTGGAAAAATATTAAAAATAAAAAACCGAACCATTAAGTAGGTTAACAAAAAATGTGAAAAACATCCACCTGAGATTTCAACACAAATTTAAAATTTTATAGCAAAGGTATACACGTACTGTTGGTATACATTAATATCGAATATGTACGTACAAAGGAAAATTATTTTTAACAACAAAAGAGTGATAAGCATGAAGTTTTTACTTTTCACAAAATTGCCAATGTTATACGCCTTAAAATTAATTGAGTCTTGTCATCAACTGAACTTTTAACTTCTTGTTTAGTTTTTTCTCTTATTATTTTGTTTCCATTATAATTATACTTTCTTTCCTTTTTAGTTTTTTATGTTATTTCCAAGTTAAAGATTGAAATTCTTTTGTGTTGTGACTTTTGCAGTTAATGTAGCTTTAAGAGTGTAAAGATTTTTATATGAGACGATTTCCATAAATTTACTGAAAAACAGAAAAAATATTTAATAAATTTGAATTTTCTGAAAACTACTTTTAGAATTTTGCTTCACTGTTGGACAATAGGACAAGCAAACAATTTTCTAACTCCAATGAAATGCTAAAATCAACTCCAACCAATTGTATTTTTTCTATAGAGAAACTTATACTGACGATTTGGTGCGGAAAGGGTTTGAGGTCCCATTCGTGAAGCTCGTTCCCTTCTGTAAGCTGCAAATATCTGCCATTAGGGGCATTTTTATTAAATAAAATTTCGATTATAAATATAAACAGGAAACTTGTTATGAGATAAAAGTAATTAAATAATTTCATCCTTCGATTGAAAATTTTACGATTTTGGTTAGTTTTTTTAACAATAAATTGATTTGATCGAATATTAAAATTTGTTAAATAAGAAGAAACATTTTATACGAAGAGATGGAATCATAAGAATAAATTTTGTTTTTGTATTACAAATTGTTTTGGTGACAGAATTGAATATAGATTGAATGAAAATATCAAAAATTCTATGTTAATTTTTCATACTTTTGCAATATTTTCTTAATACATACACTTTCAACATTATACTCAATTTCAAGGACATAGCTACGAAGAATCAGATTGACCGGTGAGGTTTAATTCAATGCAAAAATTTTTAAATATCCAAAACAGCGTAAGGTAAAAAAATATTTAAGTATATCCTTAAATACATAACAACTCCATGATTTATCACTTAATTTAAATATTTTTCTTAAAAATTTTAATCATGATAATTAAATGGAGAAAAAACAAACAAACAAGAAAAATTTCAATTGAGAAAAATGTAAAAAAAAAAAAATAATTTTGAATTGCGAATTTTTCTTTGCCTCGATTTTTATTTCTTTTAAATTTATTTTCAAAAATGTGCCTTTTTCATAAATTTTGTTTTAAGCAAAACTTGTTTTCATATTGTATACAAAAATTTCATTTTATCGCGTTACATAATATTATATACATTTATATAATAAAAAGGTCCTTGAAGAGGGGAATTTACTCATTTATTCCTATATTCTTTATTAAATACAAATTTTTTTACGTTTAAATAAAAATTTAATGGTTTTAAAGATTTCAAAATGATTGAATGAAGAGGGGTTACGTGAAAATTCTCAAGTGAGGAGGCAACAACAAACAAAAAAAAATTTTAATTCCAAAATGGTGGTTTTGCTTAAGATGGGAAAAAAAAATTATGTAAATAAATAATTAAAAGCGAAGATTGGGTTTGTTTTGTTTTGGATTTGCGTTTTGTTTTTGGTTAAAATTTCTTATATACTTTTTTGTTTTTGATATTTCTGTCTAGGTGTAATCCAAAAGTATGATTTTTGTCATTTCTTATTAACACCTTTCATCATTTCTTAATAAGAAGAAAAAAAGAAATGCAAAAAAAGTTAAAAGAAATTTTGTTTTTTCTGATAATGTAGGTAATTAAAAAACTTTCAAGTAAATAAATTT